GGACACATGTGCCGAAGAAAAGACGAACGTTGGAGCAAGCGCGTTCTGGAGTGGAGACCCCGGCTAGGAAGGAGAAGTGTGGGCCACCAGCCCGATGGTCCGATGACATTAAGGAGACAGCAAGCCCAGTCTGGACTAGGGAAACAAAGAGTCGTGCCGAATGGAAGAAAATTGGAGAGGCGTATGCCCAACGGTGGCGAACACACGCTGAAGAAGAAGAAGAAGAAAATATATAGATTCTAAATGATTCACGATTTTTTTATTTTTTATTATATATTTTATTATTAATTCTAAATGATTCACGAAGCTGTTTAGAGGACTTAAGGAAACTTCCCTTTCATCGTAAACATCAATCGCCAATTACTGTGAAAATAAAAGTATAAGTTGTATAATTTGGCAAAAACCGGAATTGAAACTGTCTTAGCTTGGATCCCAGGACACATGGGTATCCGGGGGAACGAGGCTGCTGATTTTTAAGGCCCATTTACACGATGCCATTTTCTTGTACATACAAGAGCAATAATTGAATGCAATAAATTGCGCGCAATAATTGTTAAGACCATTTGTTGTTTAGACCATGCAACTCATTTATTGCTTCAATTTAATTGTATACAACAGGCAAGAAACTGGCACCGTGTAAATGGGCCTTTATGCTAAACAGGCTATACAGATAGGTGACACAAGTCATTCGAGCTTCTTGTATCTTGTATTAACTGATGTTTTTGCTTTCAGTCCCGAGACTATTAAAGCTTCATCGGACGCAGAACCGGTGGGCTAGCCAGAACCCACGGGTTTGGACCCTCCGCTATGGGTAGGGTCGCGCATGTGCTCATGCGTGCGTTTAATTATGGTGTGTCATCTAAGGGCCGTCGAGGTCGCGGTTCGGACCGAGACCCCGACGGCCGTCGACTGTGCATTTAGCTAATCGGTGGCTGGGAGCGGTGAAAACCGCCCCGGAACGCGGGTGTACCTTGTGTACGCGTTGTGTGGGTCTCGCCGTGCTCGGAGGCGAGGGCGAACTGGTGTGATTGTTGTTACACTAACTGTGGGTGTAGTGTTATCCGGCGGGTCCCCCGGCGGTGGGTCCATCGTATCTAAGTCCTCTTCGTCGATCGGGTCGATGAGGACGTTTTGCGGGCGACGCTTGTTTACGTTCGCGTTAGTGTCCGGTTGGTAGTTTGCTGCGCTTACCACCAGAGGGTTGGGATGATGCTGGACTCTATCGAAGAACCGTTTTGTCAAATCTTTAAATGTGCGCGAATCGTCGGGTCTGCAATCGCTGTGCAGGTCGACGTTGCGCTGATACCACTGCGCACCGGTTGCGCGGCGGATAAACTTATTTTGTACTATTTGCAACTTGTACAAGCGAGTAGGGTGCGTGTGGGCGAAGATCATGCATGCGTAGGACATAATAGGTCGTACGCAGGTCTTATATAATAATAATTTGTGCCTTAAGGGCATTTTACTTTTAGCATTAGTTAAATTGTGTAGCCGGCCGGAGACGAACGCGGCTCTATTACGAACGTTATTAATGTGCGTAGTAAATGACATACGCGAGTCGAAAGTGACTCCTAAGTATTTGACCTTTTTCTCCCAGGGGAGCGGTTGGCCATAAAGGGATATTTGCCCCAACTTTCTGCATTGGCGAGGGCCATTATAAAGATGTGACGGGTAGGTACTTCGTGTGAAGTGAATCGCCACACTCTTTTCGGGATTTATTTCTATTCTCCATTTGCGGAACCAATCGCCGAGGCGGTCGGCGGCGCTTTGGAGTCGAGTGGTTAGTATTCTAAGGTTGCGGTCTGAATAAAAGAGCGCGGTGTCATCCGCGAAAAGCGCGAGATTGACGTGGGGGGTAGCTCGTGTAGAGCGTAAAGAGCAAAGATGAGAGGCAGGAGCCTTGTTGTACGCCGGCCGTGATGCGGCGGCTTGTGGAGAGGGTGCCCTCGACTCGATATCGAAAAGAGCGATTCAATTAAAAGGCCCGGACGGTGTGTACGAGCCTATCTGGCACTTTGAGTGTGTACAGCTTGTAAAGCAAACCGTTGTGCCAGACTTTATCGAATGCTTTTGCGACATCGAAGAAGAGAGCCCCTGTGCTGATGTGTTTGGGGTGGTTTAGGCCTTTTAGGATGTGCTCCGTTAGGCGGTATAACTGGTCGGGACGTGAGTGTCTAGCTCGAAAGCCGAATTGTTCCGACGGCAGAAGGCCGTTGGAAAATACGTGCTCTTTGAGCCTGTTTAACAAGAGCCGCTCGTAGAGCTTCCCCAAGCAACTGAGGAGGCTGATGGGACGATAGCTAGAGGGCTGATTAGCTGGTTTATTCGGCTTGCGAATGCCGATAACCGTGGCTTGCTTCCAGTCGTCCGGAAAGGAGCAATTGGAGAGAAGAATATTGAAAATGGTCGCCAGTAAACAGATAAGCGGCCCAGGGAGAGCTTTGAGAATTTTATTACTTATATTATCTGGGCCCGGGGCGGTTTTTGGTTTTAAATTTTGAATAATATCTTGGACCTCTTCGGGGGTCACTGAATTTAAAGGTTCGCCTTCCGGTGGAAGCGCAGCCCTAGTCTCGATTACGTGGTCCACCTCCGTTAGGTGGACTGAATCGGTGTGTTCGCGCGATGGCGTACATTGCTGCTCTAGGTTGTCCGCAAGGCATTCGGCTTTTTCGGAGTCATCTAGGGCTACTGAAGCGCTATTAGGTCTAACTAAAGGCGGTAGAGATTCGCGGGGGTCTACTTTCAGACTGCGGGCCAACCGCCAGAAGGCGGTGTGCGATGGCTCGATGTTCTCTAGGAGAGTGTCCCACGTTGTGTGTCGGTGTTCCGATACACGATCTTTGACTTCTAGCTGAAGGCGTCGAAGTAGGGTTCGGTTCGATTCCGATCGGTATCGATCGAAGGCGCGTTTGGCTGCATTTTTCTGTCTAATTAGCAGTCTTAGGTCGGGCGAAAAGTTAAACCGTCGGTCGCCCGACAGTTTCACCGTCCGTTCCGAGTCTGTGACTGCGGAAGTAATAGTTTCTCGAAGACTCGCTATCGCTCGATTTGCGTCATCGAACGTAGCTATCGTCTCGGGTAAGTCTACTAAGTCCTGGGGGTCCAAGGCCTTGAGTTTGACCTCCAGACGATGCCAGTCCACTACGGATGGTCATTCGAGCATCCCTGAACTATGCTCCTTGGCCAAATCACGACTAATGAAAACTTGGGACAATTTCTGGAAACAGTCCAATACTGTAAAAGGGAAATATTATGCAAATTATGTTTTTGTTAAATTTAAGTCCTTAAATAAAATCATAACCTCTATTATAATACGCCTTCGCTTAGGACTCGTTTGCTCCCCAGTGTTTTTAGCGAAACTGCATATACGAGACTACTCCCTTTGCTAATGTAGCTTGGCAGAGGGTATACTAGAGCATTTATTTTTTTCCTGTCAAAATCTTACAGTTCCTCTTTATAATATCCTACCTTATAACTTACCCAGGCCTGTCAATATTCCATTCCTTCTCGCCCTCACTGAATCCCTTTTTATTAAAGTCCTCGATAAATTTATCCGGTTAAATAACATAAAACTATAACTTTTCACATTTTCCCCCTATTGTATTGTCTTAATTATATGTTCTTTGTAGTCTCCTTAACATTTAGCTGTTCTAATTTATTATATCAAATTATTTATATACTAATCCATTGTTTATCCTTTGTTCAGGTAACTCAACTGCATGCGCGTAGCAATAGTCTACCTACCGTACAAAGGCCAAAAGTACCGGCTAATCTCATTTTTTACTAACTGTTTTATTCAATCTTGACATTGGCAGAATCATCAAGGTATTCCCTGATGGAGCCATTATACTAAAATTTGAATTGAATTGATTCTGTGGGCACGTCGTGGCGGACTAGGAATCTAGACGAATCTATCTCGGCGTGCCGGGCAAATTTCAGATTCAGGAAAATGCATGTATTTGCAGAAAGCCGCCGTCAGTTTACGTCACGTTTTGCCCACCACAAAATGATAAAACATACATTTTTTGTCTGAAAAAAATTATTATGATGTTCTGTACGGTAAAATCTTGCAAAAAACACTTACCAACCACTTCACTACTTTAAGGAGGCACATAAGAATAGAGAAAACAGTGGAAGAGGTTCTAACAACTCACAATCCCTAGTACCTGCTCCGCTGTCGCCAAACTCATCATTTAACTGAGACCGCCATTAAACCTAACCTCTAAACATGGCTTCATAAATTCTTAAGATATAATCATTTTTGTTTTTTAAAATGAAATTTTAATAGAATACGATACACGTTTAATTTGATAACGCTAGTTTCAAGTTGGGTTAAACGGTTTTTTTACACAGACATTTTATTTAATATCTATTATTTCGAGAGAGCATGAGTTATTGCCTTACTATTAGTATACATAAAAAATATTCACCGAGAATAAGCAAGCAAAAAGCAAAGCAAGGAACAAATAATCAAACCTTGCAGGAAAATAAATATTTGTTCAATTCCTAAATTATAACGGCCGCCGCTTGTTCGATAAATCAAATTTTAGAAAATAAATTAAGGTTAAACTGTAAGGTTTCAACTAAGAACAAAGTTTTATTCTTAAATTCAGACGTTTAGAAACCTGAGACTGCATTTAATAATGAAAGTCACAGCCTATAAATGTTCCACTGCCGGGCAAAGTCCTCTTCTGTAAAGAGGGTATCAGGGCATAGTCCACCACGCGACCCCATTGCGGAATGGAAGACTTCACATATTTTTGAAATATTTTTTTTGAATATATGGAGGATTCCTCAAGACGTTTTCCCGTTAGTTAGGTGGATTAGATACATAATTAAATAAATATGATTATATTTCAACTTATTTATTAGATAATCGCTATGTACGTCGTTGCTTATATTTTTTTAGCAAGGTGTTATGGTGTACACCATTACCCACGGTGAACAACTCTTACCCATAATCATTTCTTTTCTTTGGTATGGTTTTGTGAAAATTAACATGACATAACTTTCATGACAGTATCTGGAGCATACACTCCTTTTTCAGTTATTATACCCGTAATTAATGCTGCAGGGGTTACATCAAAGGATGGATTCCAGCAAGCGATCCCTGTAACATAATTTATATAGTTTATTATAAATACCATGCTTACCCTGGCTTCATACAGGTTGCGTATTAAATTGGATTTTTCACATCACAAGATCAAATACCCATTCAATTAATCTATAACTAAAGATTTTTTTTATTTGGATAGCCACCATTAGATAACATTGTTAAAATACAACTATAATATTTTAAATCCTGTATTCACTATGTAATGGCTTGTTTTAGGATTGGATTGTTATTAACTGATTTGAGAACACAACATAATAAAAGACACATCAAAAAAAAATTGTGTCTATTTGGAAAACTTAAGATTTGGGTAAAGTTAAATAAAATAAAGTAAGCTTTTAAATACCTAATACTTTGTTTAAATATGAGATTTGAGCTACAAAATAAAATATAATTTTGTATCCTTACTAATATTATAAATGTGATGTAAGTATGGATGTTTGTTATTCTTTCACGCAAAAACTACTGAATGGATTTTAATGAAACTTTACAATAATTATTATACATGAGAATAAGATTTAGGCTATAATCTATAAAAATACAAGGGTCTCTCAAACTTTTACGCCTTCACGATTAAACCGCAGAACCAATTTTGGTGAATTTTGGTCTTAAAGATAGATAGAGAAGTCGCGGGCACCAGTTAGTTTTTAAATAAAACCAAGTTAAACAACGGAAATCCTCCTGGGTATGGACAAGGCCAGGTTATCCATTTAACCTTACGGTAGCCCGTTCCAATGTTAAACATCGGCTTCTCTGATTACTGAAATAGTTTTTGGGTATGGCTGGAGATTCCAAAGACCTTGCTTTTAACAGCATTCTACGCGTGCCAGCGCCATATTAAGCAAGCGCGGGGTCCAACACAGCCCTTAATCTGCTACGGGTTTTAAAGTATAAAGTGGTAAGAAAACAATTCAATAAAGTTAAGTACTCTTACTTGTTCAATAAGCTTCGCTCTAATAATTAAGGCACAGGCAGAGATGAGTGGGTTTAAATATGCGGGGCCCGTAGCAATTGCTACTCTTACTACGTGGTTAATCCGGCAATGATGCGTGCTAGAGTTAGTCTAGTCAACTAGCCAATCTAATCATGAGACGTTGTACTATTGACGGTGTTAATGCGTTAAGATTTATGTGCAGGCACAGTAGCAACAAAGACAAATCGACGTCTATAATTTTTTCTAATCGGTTGGACGATTCCGTTGATAACAATTTTATTCGTTCTCATCTTCTTCACTTTAACGATACACCACCGATTTTAAGCCACGTTGTCGTCTTAAAATGTTTTCAATCCAGGATCTTATTATTAAATCGCAAAACCATAATGTTGCTCATTTCTGATGGCGCCTTAGGTTAACTGTGATATGATTTGATCGGTGTTCCCTATTGTATCACGGGCAGGCAGCAGTCTGATGTAATGTTTCTGATCAACAGAAGAACTGTTGGGCAGCCTCTTTGGGGGTCGTTTAGCCAAGTTACCCGTACCCAGGTTGGAGCCTCTACAAAGTGGTTACGCCAAAGGTTTGATAGAAAGAGACTATGCAATTTTTCTCGTATAATGAACTCCTTTATTTTCAGTTATTATAGTAAGTTAATCTTCGTTTCATTTAGAATTATAAGAAAATAACAATGTTCAGTTGCAAGCGTCTATTTGAATAAAGATATTATGAATTTGAATTAATAATGAATATGCACTTCCAGTAAGCCTACGCTCTATCGTTTCGTGTTCGGATGGACAGACGGAATTGGATTTGCGGGTCGAATTCCTACGAATTGGTTAGTCATCCTACAACCATACGGTTGGACTATGTATAAAGGCCTTCTCCTCCGACCGGGTCGATCCCGCCTTGTCGTGACGGAGGGGATCAGTAGCCGCGGCTTTGTCACCCACGCTGAAGCCAAGAGGAACCCATACTGCCTGTGGCGTAAGGACGGCCCGGAAAGTAAGGAACAAAAATTGCTCAAGTCTTAATACACCATCCCAGTTTTCCAAGTTATTTCACAATTATTTTTGATGTATATATACAGCGTGTCGTTACCATCGCGTATATATATATATATATATATATATATATATATATATATATATACAGCGTGTCGTTATGAACACACATATAGGGGATAAAGTTGTATTAAACATTTAAATTCTTTAAATATCAATATTTACAGAGTTATTAAATTTTCCAAAACAAAGAAATTTAGAACACCCTTACCTATAAAAGCGTAACGTAAAGTTCATTTGTAAAGGTCACAAAGCATATGAATGGGTTGAATGAATTTAAAAGAGACAAAACATACTGTTAGAAGGAGAGGCTTGTAATACGACGCTGTGACGCGAGTTGTATAGGATGTTACAATTTTTTTTTCTTTTTTACTTAATTAGTTTGTTTGAAAAATACTTTTTTTTAATTATGGATTTTGTTTAACGTTAATATTTTTTTATGATTATTGGCAAGTAGCGTTAGAGGTGTGTTCATTTATTGTCGCGATGGTAACGACACGCTGTATATCATATTAAAGTTATTGTATAAAAAACATTTTCGCAATCAGAAATAGTTTTAGATTCTAATGAAAGCTGTAACGAAAATTTAAAATAATGCACAATCACATGTTCATACAAGTTATTAATGTTCATGAACAGCCCACTCATTTTCTAAGAGTAGATTAGATAGTATTGTATTCTTTTTTATTGATGTGTAGTATTGTCAATTTACACTTCACAATTGGTTTGATATGGAATAAATTTGCAAACAATTACCAGGAGCTGCAATTCTGTATTCTCCAATGTGTGTCATTTCCTTCTCAGGTCTCTCTTCAATTTTTATCTTATCTCCTGATGCTATGGATATATCTATTGATGTTGAAGGTGCAGCAACGTAAAAAGGCACGTTATGGTGTTTAGCAACAATGGCAATTTGATATGTTCCAATTTTATTTGCGGTATCCCCATTGGCAGCTACCTAAAAAGATCCCTTGCATAAAAACTTTACAATTTTTTAGAAACTAAGCAAAGTACAGTACATTATTATAGTTAAAACCATTCATACCCTATCAGCCCCTACTACTACAGCAGTGATCTTTCTTGCATGCATTAGAGCTGCAACCATACTATCAACTATTAGTGTTGCGGGAATTTTTTCATGAACTAATTCATATGCAGTCAGCCTCGCCCCTTGGTTATAAGGACGAGTTTCAGTACAGTAGACGTGCTCTAAAATAAAATAATACAAAAAAAAAAAAAAAATCAGAAATTAAAAAAAATTCTGCTTAAAAGTAATTCTAAAATATATAAAGGTTTTCAGAATGATTGGTTAAATGGAAATAAAGTACCTAGTTTATTTGATTCAAACAGAGATCTGATTACACCCAAAGCAGTGCCATAACCAGCTGTAGCTAATGAGCCAGTGTTGCAATGAGTTAGTACCGTCACTTGACCATCACACTTTAATGTATTGAGAATAGCCTCACAACCAAATGTTCCTATTGCTTTGTTGTCCTCGATATCTTTTTTTAGCATACTTTCGATGCTAGTGATGAATCTAAAAATATATAATTTTAAAAGCATTATTACCACAGTCTAGTGATTTTATGTGAAAGAAAAGGTATAGATAATGATGACTATAGGTTGAATTACAGAACTTATCCCGCGAAAGCGGGTGAGCTATCATTTTGTATTGTGTAGATACACGTGTACATTGCCTCTTCGCGTAAGCTCTGAGCGCGCCGACACTTTTACACACCAGAAGACGCCAGCATCCTTACTAATATTATAAAGCCGAAAGTTTGTATGTATGGATGGAAAATCCCACAGTCGATATTAAGTCTGCCGCTTGACCAATTTAAATGTAAAATGAATGAATGAATGAATATTCTTTATTGCACACACCATGGTAAAAAGAATACATTAAAAATAACAATTATGCAAGGGTTGTACAATGGGCGGCCTTATTACTTAAAGCAATTTCTTCCAGGCAACCTTTGGATGGACATAATATGAAAAGAATATTTTAGGGGTGTGGGTAAAAAATTCTATAAATTTTATAAGATAAATACATTCTTTGTTGTAAAAAATAAATAAATGAATAGATAAATGAGTACATAAATAACAAAACAAATATATATATATATATATATATATATATATATATATATATATATATATATATAACATATATACATATATATATAAACATAGTTAATACATTCTGTATCTAAACCAGATTTAAAGTGACAAATAGTGACTCTTGACAAGGTTTTTAAAAGTGGAAAGTGACTGAGCACGTCTCACCTCCAGAGGTAGGGCATTCCATAATTTCGCACCTTGAACCATAAAGGACTTAGCCATAAATTTTGTTTTGTGAGCAGGTATTTTTAATTTCAAATTCTCTGATGATCTCAGAAGATGTGGATGAGATTCGTGTAAAAACTCGAAACGTTTCTTTAAATAAAAGGGATACGAAGGATTAAACAGAACGTTGTAAAGAAGGGAGAGTATATGAGCATTCCGGCGAAGTCGAATGGTAAAATTAAAAAAAAATAAAAATCAACTGATGATTAAAGCATATTATACCATTTCGGAATATCTCAACGATGCCAATGTGTGGAGTTAATACTGTTGATACTCACGTAGTATAGAATAAGACTATTATACCTGTATATTATATTGTAACCTGATATTTTTGAAAAAGAGCAACTGTTGAGTTTCTTGCCGGTCTCTTCTCAACAGAAACCGCTTTCCGAACCGGTGGTACCTTACGAACCTATACACATAATCTTTGATGTAAAATTTGACGATTCATAAGAGCGCGCAAGCGTCTATTTGAATAAATATATTTTTGATTTTGATTTTGATGTTTGTTACTATTTCACGTAAATACTGAATGGACTTGAATGAAACTTTTTAATAATGTAGCTTATTCATCAGAATAACACACATTTATACACATATTTTTATGTATATCTGTCTTTTTGTCTGCATGTTCAGCCTGTTCTACGCAGTCGTAGTCACGGGCAGCAGCCAGTATAAAATATGTGAGATTTTTGGTCAGTATGGAGGCAAGCCGTAAGACTCAGTGGCTACAGCGACGGGCGCGCAACCTGGAGGGGCAGGTTTAAATCCTCGTAGTGGTAAAAAAACTTGTTCGTCCAGTTTTCTACAATTTTTTAAATAACCACAGATTAATAAAACAACTTAAATTGTTTTTTTTATGAATGATGAGCTTACTTACGCTACCTGCACAACGGTGTGTCTGTCCCCTTTACAACTACAAATTTGGTTCAACCACTCTCGTGAGATATAACAATGGTGCCAACATGTGCAAAATAAGACTAACGTAAAAATTGAAAGTAACAATTCACTTCAATGTTAATTCTCATCTGATATGTAAAAATGTCATACAATATTTTTCCTATTTGAAATTTACCTTTCTTTGAAGGCTTCCACTGAAACATTTTCATCAGCATTTAAACTATTTGCTAAATTCAATAATGCTTCAGCTGCCAGCTTTATGTTAACTGCCGTTGGCCTTGCTGATACTAAGTAATTAAGTTTACCTTCAATCTGAAATAAGTGCAAACAAACATTTATTTGGACCTTGCATTATTACATTGTTTATTTGCCAAAGTTATCTAAAAGTAAGTTCTACTCAAACACAATTTATAAACATAATACATGATAATGTCCTCAACCCAGATTCTTAAAAATAATAAAATGAATGTCTTTTCTCAGAAGTATTATTATGAGATGAAACCTGATTCATTTTTAGTTTCGGCCAAAACTGCTATTTACATACTTCTGGATATAAAAAAAGTTACATAGAATTACTTTTCTTTACACCCAAAAATGTAATAACTTTTCTTACTTTATTAATAAAGAAATTATATAGTGTTATAAAACTATTTCTTGGGTTTTATGTAAAAAGTCAGGCACCCTACTACACCATATACATGGCCCAAGCTATTTACAACTTATGTTTTTAATTATGTAGTAAGAGGGCCTTCAAGTGTAAGCAGGGTTTGTTCAATGTTTTTCTTATTTTTGCTGTCAAAGGGCTGTGTGAATATTAAAATATACATATTACGTAACATAAAAACCGGCCCAGTGATCGACAGGCAGACGGACGGACGGACGGACGGACGGACGGACGGACGGACGGACGGACGGACGGACGGACAGACGGACAGACAGACAGACGGACATACGTCAGATGGACAGATAGATAGATAGACAGACAGACATAGACTGTCTCTCTGAAGTGTCTCTGACTGCTCTTGACAGGCACTCAATATATTTTTCTTATTTTTCAAATTTATTCAAACAACTTTAATTTTAAAAAAAATTGAGTATCTTTAATTTAATCCCTACCACTATTATGAATGTCAGTCCAGTCCAGTTATGATATTCTATATAAATCTCTAGGGTACTTTCTTTTTATTTACTTAAATGTTGAGTTAACTATTCTTTAAGTGTGAAGCTTATTTTACTACTTTAGCTACTAAATAATTATGTAGTAATAATTAACAAAATGTAACAAGAACAATAAATGAATCACTTACAATCAAAGGTTTAACTTAAGCAAAATTTTGTGTGACTTAAACCAAAATAGTCATTATAATTATAATATGACAACTTTAGTTAAAGCCAAACCTAAGCAAACCTTTTTTTTAAAAACATATTTGGTCAATCTGATATTATTTTATAGACTGTTGAATATATTAATAAAGAGAACTTCATTTCAACAGTTATATTACTATTATCATAATATCATTTATTAAATGTCCAACCTCTTGTCTCATTATCTTTTTTTCAGTGGTATTGTTGTTTAATAATTCTATAGCAAGAGATAAGCAGCCCACAATAGCTATAGCAGGTGCACCTCTGACCTGGAATAGATAAAAAAGACAAAATATTAACTATTGAAAAGTATTAATTATTTTGGACCTTATTATCTATGATCAACAGTACATTTAAGGTGCCCCACTCAACTACATAGTGAAATAAATTATCCCAGCACCAATTTTTATTTTTGGTCACATATTTAATAAAAAAACTTCTAATCTTAATACTCCTCTTCTTTTTCCTGCTCTTGATCCACACTAGGGGATGTTGAAAAATATGACCTTTATTTCCACTTTATCAGCCATCATCTCAATACTCACCCCTTTCAGAGAAATATTATCTTTGATTATATACTTGTCTAGATGGAGCAATGATTAACAAACGACGCGCTAAAGCTGTCTCCGATTGCGCTATATGTGTGAGTGCTGCTTGTGTACTTATTGTACACAAACTGTTAAGGTGTGCGTGTAGAGGGATGCCTGCTCCAAATTATTAACTTAAGTTTTCCCCATTGTTTAATAGAGTGAAAGTTAAACAAAATAGGTTGAATAAAGTTTTGTACATTAGTAGTGTTTTAGTACAATAAAAAAATTATATAATAGTAGTTTATACATCAAAATCTGTTGTCAAATGTGCCGTTCGGTATGGATAATGGTTTATCTAGATAAGTGTATAATCAAAGCATATTATTCTTCACACAGTCCATCCAAATCTTTTTCAGTACTCACTCTTCTAGTAACATGACTTTCATCCCTTCTCATGTGTTATGAGAATAATCATATCCAATGAACTGGTATGGGCACAAGAACATCATTGGATCAGTATGAAAGAAGTTTGTCTGGCTAATGTCAGAAAGTTCCAGTATGCAACATTAATTTCTATTAACAATCCATCACAGTAATAACCTAAATCCATCAAAAAGATCCCATTTCCTTGCCCAAATCCTAACACTGGACTTGCCATGGTGGGTTGAAGTCTGGCAAGCTGCCGGTTATAAAAACAAGCTGAATAACTATAAACAACTTAGTACCGGTGGTAGGGCCACACAGCAGCCTTGGCTGTTGCACGAATGGACAGGCCCGTCCGGGTAAGTACCACGACCTCACAAAGACCGGCCTAAAGTGGAAGTAAAATACTTTCGCGTTTCGTCCGGTGAGTGAGGTGGCCGGAGCCCAATTTTCAAAAGGTTGTCAATGCATCTAGAACTCTCGGGTGTAGCAGATGTTCATGGGCGGCGGTGATCACTTAACATCAGGTGAACCGTCTGCTCGATTGAGAACTATTTGCATAAAAAAAAATACTATACTTACATACTAAACTTATATTATGTTTTTTCTACTAAGACAGTTTATGCTTATTAGTGATACTACTACTGTTACTACACTTGTTCCCCAGCTTCATCCAAATCTTTACAAAAATATTATAAAATAATATATACCTATATACCAAATTTTATTTTCGTTGAGGTAGTTTCTTAAAAATAAATACCTAATATGTAACATGTATGTCACACACAATTTTGTGACCAGTTAAGATGCAAGTTTTAATATCATTGAATTTTGTGTATCAAAAAGGACAACCTACTGAAGTAGCAATGGTAATGGTTGTATTATGGAATAGGATAACATACTTGCATTTTATTGATGACTTTCCACCCATCTTCAACTCCCATTACCTTCATATATCTTGTTTCTAATGGAAGAAGCAATTGGTTGAGGATTTCCAAATCTCCTCTTCGATATTTAATTGCTTCTAAACTCATTGTCTTATATTATAAGAATATAGAATATTTTTGAAAAATTATTCAGTATTATCACGAACAACAATGGCAATGTTTAGCAGAAAACTTCGGAGCTTATAATTTAATAAAATTTAAACGATAGGAAAAAATCACTACACTCCAATGAAATTCAATGGGTTTAATCAACATTTAACACTGATTTATATGCACTGCGAGGCGTTTAAATTTAAAATTAAGATTTAAGATTTTTAAAAATTGTGCTCCTTTAGATTAGATGACATATATACCATCACACTCACAGAACAGTTTTACTCAAAGAGAAGAATGACGGCTCCATACAAATTTTAGGCGGAAATTTTTTCTTACCGACCGGCGTCATCTGTGTTCTGCCCAAAAGAACTATTGAGCAAATGCTAGGGCGGGAATTTCAAACTAGTAATTTTAAAGGTACTTGGCGTTGCATTTTATGCACAAGTACAATGCGTTTGTAACACACAGTATACTTGTGCATAAATTGCTATATTTATTCATCTTTAGAGAGCAGTCTAATTAAACAAAAAAAAAACGAATGAATCGGTAGTTCACTTTTTTTATTTAGCATGATAATAAATACAATATATGAGATATTCATTTATGCAACATATATTATAACAGACATACATTTACATGAATTCAGACACGAGTTGTATTCATTTCCAATTTGGTACAAAAATCACAAGTAAGTGGGTGTAATGATAATGAATCTCAGACATCAGCAAATTTTAAACAAATAAAAATAATATTCTTAAAATACAATATAAATGCCGCGTGGATTAGGTTTATTAGATAACATGTAATTTTAGATAGATTTAATCATGTAAATATTAGATCAATAAAGGATATAAATGACACTATGCAGAAAATTTGAAAGTACAGAAAGTTATTCTGTTTAAATACTTGAGACATCTTCACTCAAAATAAAAAATACAGTTTACCTTTCATAATGTAAGCTTGTAGTCAAAAAGCTTGTCTTATAATTACTCGGCGCTCGCACGGCAACATAGATATATAAGAATAATTTACTATTGAATGCAATTGACAATAAAGTATTTTAATTGATACAATGTTAAGTTCTTCATTGAGCTCCTAGTCATTACAGATCTCACAGCTATTTGTAGTGGAAGAAATACATTGCGAAACTTAGCATTTTTATATATATATATCTTGTTTTTGATGGCTGATGATAATTCATTTTTCTTTGTAATGCAGATTTACACAGGTCTTCAGAATACATTCTGTTTTTTTTATATACAGTATATTTTAATGCTAATATGGAAGACACTGTTTATTATGTAACTTATTATATTTAAGTCTTTGTGCAAAATGCAATGTTCAGGGAAGTTATAATTTATAGAGCTCTTTAACATCTTTCTCTAAAAATATATTTATTATATTTGCACTTTTTTCTACACAATCTAATAAATTCTTTGAGGCAAGAATTTTTTTACAGATCTGTAAAAAAAAAATCTCTTACACGCATTATTACATTTACGTCTGTGGCTGGCGTTAGAAATGTTTTAAAATTAGCAATTATGGCACTGTTGCACACAAATTTTAACTGTTTTACTGTTACAAGTAAAATTTAAAAACGCTTCATTTTTTAAAAGTTTTACAGTTTTTTGTGATCAATATACCTTGTTCATATTCCTTTTCAGTTTCTTTAACGATAATTTGCTTTCACAAAAGCCACCTTCTTGATTTGAGGAGTCACGCACAAACATTTATGAACTTGTTGGAGTGATGATATTGGCATTATGTTCTCTTAAAGGGTAAATTCTGGATGAACAGGCAACTGGTTCAAACACTGCAGTTTGTTAAGGCAGATTATTGTTGTATCCTAAAATAAAATAAGAAAAACTTAAGCAAACCATTGTTAATATAAAAAGTCAACTAGTACTCACAGTACAGTTTTGGCATCAAAAAGAATTAATTGTTATTAAAAGTTTTAGTTTTTCTAACTAATATTTTACATTCCAAAGTGAGTTATCTTCACACGACAGCCCAAAAAATGGAGTGTTATGTTTTCAGGGTCTATGTATGTATATGAGTTTATTTATTCCATCATAACTTTCGAATGCCTAAATAGATGTGGGTATATGGGATATCATACATTGACAAAAGTAACAAAGGGTATAAATTTAAATAATTGTACAGTGCCCCTTATATACAACATAATGTCAGTGTTTCTCTGTAATAAAGGTGTTTAAATAAACTTTTTAAGTGTTTATTGTACCAACCTTATGGGATTGAACATCAGGTACAGGTGATCTAAACAACTTCTTCTCATTAAAGAATGTGCTATTAGAATGTTTGCTGCAAAGCACCTTATGTTTAGAATGCAGTCCATTCTGGAACTTTTGTGAAGACCTGTGTGGCTTCATTTGGGAAGCAAAACTTTGCCCATAATTCACACCTGAAAATTAAAAAATATGAAAATGACATACCATAATAATCATATTCCGGGTGGGCATTTTAAATTCGCATCCCAAATTTGGGGTTCATAAGGGTTGTTATTTTTTTTATAGGAATTGTTCGTCCTATTCAAACGACACACCCCTCACCCTTAGAAAAAGAGCAGTTTTTTATACGGTTTTGAAATCAGGTGCAACCGAACACCATTTTGCAAAGCTTAATACTTAAGCAAAGGCCATGAAATCAAATACATTGACAATAGTTGTGGTGTATTATTCTTAATTCCAAATCGTTTAAAACTAATAGAATTGAAAGTACAGAAGTAGGTACATACCGCAGAGCATTGTTTGAGCCAGGCTTTGGGAACCGAAATAAAGTTAAATTTCGTCGATGCTAATTTAAATAAAGTGACGCTGGGATCTTTAGATGGCGAAGATCTACACATGCAACATATTTTAGAGTTCTCTTTCTGCGAAGTCAATAATCATCGCGAAATTAACCATACACCGAGACTATGTCTCACCAATATACACTTAATTTCACCAAAAAGTTTATGAATATATATGTCATTGTGTTCGCTACAGCCGCGGAGGAGGAGGCTCAACTCAACGCTACTAAAGTATGTAAAATCAAATGGAACTAGTTTATTTATTGCAAATAAACATTGGTACAATACTTATGTTGGTACAATAGTTATGAGGTGGCGCCTGGAGCTCTCTTGTTTTAAATATGACATTATATATCGACCTGGGAAAGAAAATGTGGCAGCGGATGCACTAATCTATCTGGAATGACAAATACGATGACATGGACGCGGCTGTGCATCTGTTCATACAGAATCTAAACTATTTTCTTTACATGAATCGCTTTGTCATCCTGGAGTCACTCGAATGTTTCATTGGGTGCGATCTAAAAACTTACCATACAGCATTGATAATATACGACAAATGACACGTGGCTGTAAAATCTGTGCAGAAGTAAAACCTAAATTTTGCAACAGCCGTGGAATATTAATAAAAGCTACAAATGTATTTGAAAGATTAAACATAGATTTTAAAGGACCCCTACCCACAAATTCAAAAAATCAGTATCTACTCACTATTATAGACGAATATTCAAGATTTCCGTTCGCATATCCCTGTGAAGATACATCTACATCGAGTATTATTTAAGTGTTTGACAAACTTATTTTCTATATTCGGCATACCCTCATACATACATTCTGATAGAGGATCATCATTTATGTCCCATGATTTAAAAATCTTTTTACAAAGTAAAGGTATAGCTACAAGTCGAACAACATCGTATAACCGAAATTTTGCAATCGAAAAGAGGTCTACTTATTATTAATTACCATGATTTTGCCATTGAGACAATGAATCAGTGTTTCGAAAGTTTAAAACATAATTAAGTCTCTTTTCATGCCATTTAGGGAGAAAGCAGATTCACGGCGAATACAGAGCATCAAATTTCGCAATCGATCGACACTTTCAAAGGAAGGGAGGACCTGTTGCTTTCTTTTCAAGATCAAGGAAATGGGCAGGTGGAACGATTTAATGGCACGTTGTGGAAGACAACGCAGTTGGCTTTAAAAACAAAAAAATATGATATAAGCCAATGGGAGAGGGTATTGGATCAGTCATTGCATTCTATTAGATCATTACTTTGTACAGCTACTGATGTAACACCTCACGAAAGAATGTTCAGGCATAATCGAAGATCTGAAAACGGTGCAACATTACCATCGTGGTTGATGGTGCCAGGGCCAGTGTTTATGAAAAAGCATAATCGAGCTTCAAAATATTCACCTGTAGTCGAGGAGGTAGAGCTATTACAATCAAATCCTGACTTTTCATATGTCCGTTTACCTGATGGAAGGGAAGAGACGGTATCTAACAGACATCTAGCGCCTCTAGATTCATCGGAGTTTATCGAAAATACTATGGAAATTGAAGAAAATAATAATCAAATAGATCTGCCAAGTGGAAATATACGAGAAGAAGATAATGAACAATGTAGAGAAGTAATGACAATGGAGCGACCGGTTAGAACTAAAAAGCGGCCAGAATATTTAAAAGATTATGTTACTTAAGCGGCCAGAATATTTAAAAGATTGTTACTTTTACTCGATAGGGTAAATGATATAATACTGGCCATTCGCCATAAATGTAAACATTGTTTTTAAAATTATTCTTTTGGATGTTCCTTATTACTGACACAATTGTTCTTACGTATGTATATATTTTCTGCTTAATAAAACCTAATTACTAGGTTTTGTATTATTTATCAGTGACAGAATCACAGATGACAGAACAGATGATATAGAACCAAAGATCTTATACTTTACTTTTAATGGTGGTAGAGCCACGCAGCAGCCTCGGCAATTGAACGAATGGGCAGGCCCGTCCGGGTAAGTACCATGACCTCATAGAAGACCAGCGTTAAGTGGAAATGTGACAAATACTTTCGCGTTTCGTCTGGTGAGTGAGGTAGCCGGAGCCCAATTTTCAAAAGGTTGTCAACGCATCTGTAACCCTCGGGTGTAGATCTGCATCCATGGGCGGCGGTATTCACTTACCAACAGGTGAACCGTTTGCTCGTTTGTCAACTTTTAACATAAAAAAATACTAATATTGCTAATATATGTTAGTAAATGTAAGGTCTTTGTATAGAACGTATAATAGGGAAACTACGGAAAAAATGAAGGACCAACTCCTTCATTTTTCACTAGGTGCATGTCATGTCATGTCTTTCGAACACAATTTTTCAAAAAAGGAGCCACTATAATTCATAGCTGAAACCAGTTACCTAATAACTGCCTGGGGCACTATATTTTGTTCAAAAATTTTGATATAACCAATAAAATGCATTTTTTAAATTTGAAATAACATTAGTTGCTGGACGATTGATACAAAAAAAAAAGACTAAGAATTTATTTATGTTTAAAAAAAAGCAAGAAATGTTAATAAAACGAGATAGACAATTATATCACTTTAAGCCTTCTTAATAAATATAAATTATTTGTCACGTTGTTTGTGCCCGATGGACTCCTAAACTACTTAACAGATTTTAATCTGTATACCGTGTGCAGTTTAATCCAACTTGAAAGATAACCTAAGTACATCTCAATTTATAATCGCAATATTATTTTATTGCAAATTATTTATTTAATGACGAAGAGTTAAAAGAATCTGTGAGTTCCGTATGATTTTAGACTTTAAGAAGTTCACAAGGCTGAATTGAGTATCTTATAGATGGCGCTATGTTAAAAGTCAAAACGTATGGACCCGGTAAATTTGACGCAGACGAAGTTGTCCGGCCCACCTATTAATATTATAAAATATATAATTAAGTATATAGCTATGAACTCATTTCTTTGCATTCCACTTTGCTGTATCTCTAAGACCATTGTTAACAAAAGATTAACAATTCGATTTAAAAGGATAGACCCGAGGGCCCCTCAGATTGAGGTATAAGCATCAGTTTGGATCGCAATCTATAGTGGGACCTATCCAGAGAAAGAAATAAGATTCACATACGAAAATGAAATTGCAAAAACAGTTAATATTTATGGAAACAGTTGGTTTACCAAGATTAGATTACTTATAAAACACAATAATGACGAAAATAATCTTACTTTTAATTTTCGAAAATTAAAAGTTTCCTAGCTAATTACACCAGGAGTTCACTATTAAATAACAACAAAAATATGACTGAAACGATTCAAAATGAACCTGGCACTCGGGAGTTGGGAATGTCGCCGGCGCGCGATGAATACACTATGCCTAGTTAATGTTTTTGTCGGTAACAAATCCGTTTCAGGTCTTAGTTTCATAGTCGCGTTGGTAAGGAAACTCGTTGTTGGACATCGGAGGGAGAGTTAAATTCTTTAACGTGCACTTTATTTCGTCATCGGGACACCAACAGTATACACCATTTATAGGACAGTGTTTTGGTCTTGGATGCATGGTCCTTGGATTTTTATATATTTAGTACTAGTAAATGGAGTAATGTATAATATATTAAAATAATGATTTCACTGTAATTTTAAAATATATATTACTTTAATAAAATTTCAGATTTTTAATATTTTCCATTTGTTATAATTTATTTAGAATGAAAGCGTCTGAACGACGACAGGAAGCGACGGTATCGTGCTTGTCTATGATCTTTTCAATTTCCGTCCGGCATTGCCGAGAGACGCATCGTCATTACGCTGTGATTCTAGAAGATTTTCCAGGGCGTTCGTTTTTCGGAAATCAGCAACATGTCTTTACCTCGGGTTTTCTTCGACGTTACTTCTGATGGTTCTGTTTTAGGAAGAATTGTCATTGAGGTATGCTATTCTTCAAATAATTAGTCTATAAGATTGTCATTCCGGCCGGCGATATGTCTGACCACGCTACCCCGTAAAATATTTCCATTGCTACTGATTTTTACATATGTAGAAATACTCATTTATTTTGATTTTCATATTAATTTGGATGGTTTAGTAAGTAGTTAGATTAATGGTTACAGAAAGTTACCTGTATTTAACGCAGTAACTACTGTTTAACGCGCTTCATTTTCAAAATTAAGTTTGACCGAGATTACATGCTGAAGGTCAATTTTTCCTTAAACCTTGACAGCTAATGGCGTAACGCGAAAGATATTGTTTGTTTTATTAGTACTCTTGTAAGCTTCAACGCCTGTCTGAATATGGCGTGGCGTCTAATTTTACCCTTTCAAATAAGTAAACATCTTATTCAATTAGCATTCCTAAGTTATCATAAATTGTAATTTGTACCCAGAATTAAATTATTACTTTTTCATCTTACATACATTTACAAATAAAATATTAATAGCAGTGAGCATAAAAATATATATTAATAATAGTGTGCTTAGGGGATCAACGTTTAAATTTTTTTTCTATTATTTCAGCTAAGATCAGATGTTACACCCAAGACCTGTGAAAACTTCCGTGCTCTGTGCACTGGTGAAAAGGGCATGGGATACAAAGGCTCAACCTTCCACCGTGTCATCCCCAATTTCATGCTTCAAGGTGGTGACTTTACAAACCACAATGGCACTGGTGGAAAGTCTATCTATGGAGAAAAGTTTGCTGATGAAAACTTTGTTCTGAAGCACACTGGTCCTGGTGTCCTTTCCATGGCCAATGCTGGTCCGAATACCAATGGCTCTCAATTCTTCATTACCACTGTGAAGACATCATGGCTTGATGGAAGACATGTAGTCTTTGGAAATGTTGTAGAAGGCATGGATGTTGTAAAGCAAATTGAAGCCTTGGGTTCCCAATCTGGAAAACCCTCAAAGAAAGTTGTTATTGCGGACTGTGGCCAGCTTTCTTGAGCTAATTCTGTAATATTTATATAAACAAAATGCAATATTTTAAGTTTAACATAATATCCTATCATCTTTTACCTTCTCTGTCATAAAAGTTAACTATGGGTCATTCCAATTGTTTTATAAATTTATTACTATGTTCTAGGTCGCAAACTGCAATTGCATTTATTTCTGTGCATTGATTATTCATAATAAATTAACTTATATACTATTTTGTTTTTTTTAATTAGGTTTTGATCTTTTATGCAATATTATATGGCAAATAATGTTTCCCGACCAAATTGGTTACCTTTGGTTTGAATTCTACTAGTATTAGAATTCTTATAGTACATGTTGTTACTTTACTTTTTTTATCCAACATGTTGGCTTAAGTTTAATAGTTTGACTGAAACACCGTTTACTAACATAACATGACAAGTGTTAAAATGATCTATGACTAATTTATAATAACCTTACGAATAATTTCGCCATTTTGGTACATCGATTACCATTTGAAGGTTTACCTAGTAACTTGGTCTTTTAGTGAATACCGCCGCCCAGTGATGGATCTTTAGGTCGCCTAGGCATATACAAGAATCCTCTACTCGCCGCCTACCTACTCATTACTCATCCAAAGAAAATATAATCACTATATTTACATGTACGTTTACTATGTTTACGTGTACTCATCATGGTCGGCTTGATTTGTTATAATTTTCACGGAATATTGTCTATTCGAAGGTGCTAGAGGCGAGAGGTGCGGCTACAAAAGAAATCCCACCAAGCTGTGCCGCCCTAGCCTACTTGGCCTCTATGGTAATCCGCCCCTGTGCCCATGAATTAGTGGATATCTAAAACACCTGAGTGCTTGCACACGCATAGACAAAGCTTATGTGTTGTCAACGATAAAGAAAGTGGTACACCGATTACCGCACTTATCAGACGGAATGCGAGAGAATATTTTCACTTCACGACTTTTTTTTGAGGTTCTGGTTTTTACTTTAAGCAGAAGTTGCTGCGTGGGGCCCTACCGCCTTGATGCTGCACTAACCGTAAACGCCGTTTTATCTTGCACCACGACAGTGCTAGTTCCCGCACGGCTAGACAGAGAAACGAATTTTTGAAGGTGAAAAACGTAGAACTTGAGCCATCCTGCATACAGTCCCGACCTGCTAGGTCCCTTGTGACTTTTCTGTCAACGCGGTCAACGATCGATCAATTACTACAAATAATACCTACCTTTAGTGATCACAGCAGTATTGAAAAAAAAAAAAAACGGTGGTACGGCCACGCAGCAGCCTCGCCTGTTGCACGAATGGGCAGGCTCGTCCAGGTAAGTACCACGACTTCACAGAAGATCGGCGTAAAGTGGAAGTATAATACCTACACGTTTCGTCTGGTGAGTGAGATGGCCGGAGCCCAATTTTCAAAAGCTAGCAGGATGTCCTAGGCGATGCGGTATTCACTTAACATCAGGTAAACCATCTGCTCGTTCGGCAACTTTTCACATAAAAAAAAAGATGGCACAAATTTTGCCTCGTTTCATGTTTCTTATTAGGAAAATACAGTTTTTATTTTTGAGCTTTACCGTTTATTTAAAACCCAAAGTATACCTAACTAGTATATAAGGTTTATTGGTGTAAGTAACACAAAATAAAAATGAAGGTTTTTTATATGCGTTGTTCATAAAAAAATATTTACAGTAGTTAGGACTTAAGGATTTTGTAATTTGTGAATTAAATGAATTAAATATAAATTAACATAAGCCAATATCGGCATGAAATAGTCTATCGTTAATGCTGCGCCGGAGTCGTGGTTGCAAAGAGGAGATGAACAACAAGATGTGCACGCGTATAGTTTCGTTCTTTCGCCAATAACAATGCACCCAGGCTCGCAATGCTTGGTACAGTTTCGCTCAAGAGCCCACATCTTTAGGGCAGTCGTGGAATTTTCCGTGGAAGTTGTAAATGAAAACCGTTTTACCTGAATGTGAAGATTAAAATAGTATTAGTAAAATTAATGGACTTAAATGATAACTAATAATTTTAATAATTGTCAACTTTATATTGAGATAAAATTTATAATGTAAAAAAAATTATTAATTAATAAATAGGCATAATTGAATCCATTTACCATGCACATTCGCCGGTCATTGTGACATTTGTGTATAAGCGCAGAGTTGTTATGTCGTAGGTCAGCGCATTTATCTTCTGGAACTTCAGCCATGCATTTGTAACACCACAGCTCGTTATTGGGACGGGCTGCTGCTGATGTAACGTGTACACTATCCCGAAGTAAATCGCCATTGCAATCTGTAACAATATATTTAATTAAAGTGACCCTTAGAAAACATTTTGGAAAACAATAAATTGGGATTTTACATGTGTAGGCTGCTAAATTTAAATATCGGCAGAAAATTTGTCAATATAGTCAAGATACTAGAACAATTTTCATGGCTCTGGTTAGCGAACTCGGGGGAGTTTGTTTGTTTCGGGGGCCGTGAACAAGGGGCCGAGTAAGAAGGCGCACTGGAACCTGCATACCCGGAGGAGAGGGGAATTGCTGACTAGGAAGGAGCTGCTCAGGTGTCCAGTGCTGGCAGGGTGGCGGAAGTGTGCCGAAGGTCCTGCCGATATGCGCCTAGGTGGAACATCATGGGGATTTTAGTCTGGGGGATTTCAGTGCGGGTCCTACATAACCCGCTCTTGCCCCCGCGAGTGAGGGAACTAATCGTAGGCATTTCCCACACATTACAAAATAAAAAAAGAGCGTACGTACAAAGGAGACCATAGAATAACCTGAAGTCAAAGTATTTTATTGTTTCCCACTTATTTATAAGAATTTAATTAACCCGTACTTATTATAAGATAAACGATAACGTAAGCACAGCAAACCGACGGGTATTGCGTATGTATATCTTAAAAGTCAAATGCAAAAGTGGATGTTAAGAACAACAGAAATCATATCGCAACGCATAAGTTTTTAACACTAAGCGTTTGTTTACTGGCAAAGCAGGGGATTGTCGATTTTATCAATAAACCAGACCATAGACAAGAATGAGAAGACGTTTGCAAACAACAGTGAGTTGAAAATGTCTTATAGGCGTGCTATTTGTAAGTGTTTCCATAGTAACTATAATTATAATGTAATAAATTGTTATTGGCGATGATTTAAGCAAATAATGATAGTTTTACATACCTGGGAATATAAATAACAACGAGAGCAGTACTAAACACCGCATGATGTTTGCAATATACACAGCGCATGATCCAGCCTCTGTATCGATTTATCTTTCTGCGACCTGTTGCCGCCCATGCCTTCTAGCTCCCCCGACCCATTTCATCATTCAAGGTCCTACTGAGCATTTTAATCGAGGGAAACAATCATAACTTTCCGAATTATTAAGAAAATTAAAAAGTTTAATCCTTGACGCTTTTATACGTGTAAGCTATAAACTGTAAGTCCTATAAGTAATAGTTTGAATTACGATTATTAGTATAATAGTACCATTAGGCCGTAACTTAAATAGATACATATTGTTGTAGTTTATATGATTTTGATGATACCTACTGATTTAAAAAAAAATATATAAAAAAGAAAGTAAATATCTTTTGATTGTTAAAGAGAAAAAATTGGTTAAAAATTTCTTTATTTCTGTGCCTGTAGCACCACGAGGCAGGTCTCGACGCGTACGTTGCGCTGGCGATCGTTAAGTTCGTAGAGCACCCATCTTTCAAGCTTATTTACCTTGGCAATTTGTCGCAAATGGACCAATATTGACTTTGTAAAAGAATTTCAGGTTTTTAAAACATAATTAATTCGAATTTAGAAAATTTCAGAGCCAATAATTTTTTTTGTTTTATGTGGCCAGTACTGAAGAACGGCAATTTCTTATGTAAAGGCCAAATATATTACTTTATTCATAATTGTATTGAAATTATTATGAAATTGTTAGTGAATGCATGTCATTAGGTCACGGTTTAAATAATATTAAATGAAATTGTATTAATGACAATGTGTAAAAATGTTATAAACTGTTTTCTTGATTTAACGCGAATATTACACATATTAAATGAAACTAGTTTACGGATTTTACCGTGTTTTTATTTTGATTTTGAACTCCCGACGTTTCGAATCCTTTCCAGCGTTCATGGTCACGGGACAGTCTGTCCCGATAAAATCCGTAAACTAGTTTCATTTTCCTAATTATATATATATACCGAAAGCAGACCCTGTTAAAAGGAAATTTAGAAGACAAAAGCGAAAATATTTTTCCGAAACATTAGCTTTATTTATTGACACGTGCGCCGGAAAATCCGACGATGGAGACCCGTGAAGTGGATAGGGCACTCGTCCGTGTAATTTATTACTTACATACTAATATTATACACATTGATTAGTAAAAAATTAATTGAAGCTTTAATCTAATCTACGACATCCTTAATTTATTAAACGGTTTTATTTAGCTTGACTAGTTTCATGTTGACGGATTGATTTAAAATTGGTACGCACGTTTATTTCTGATGACAATATAATTTAATACAATCTGTATCATTGTAAATCCAAGATGGCCGCCGCTACAAAATGGCGGATTACATATTATATCCCTACTTCCTCAAAAAGTTAAAGTAAAGTAACAGTCTATACATGTCCCACTGCTGGGCAAAGGCCTCTTCTATACAGAGGGTATCAAGGCATAGTCCACCACGCGGCCCCACTGCGGATTGGCGGACTTCACATATCTTCGAAATATATATATATTTTTTTGTTATTATTTCGAAAATATGCAGGTTTCCTTACGATGTTTTACTTCACCGCGGAGCACGTGATAAGTCAGCTCTTAAAGTTAAAAACTTCATTGGTGCCGGCACCGGGGATCGAACTCAGGTTGCTCGAGTATATTGAAGTAAAGGCGAGCGCCCGGACACTGAGCTATCACGGCTTAATATAGTATCAAATGAAAGGGCTTGAATAGCTGAATACTGTTAGCTTTGAACACAAGATGAAAATTCAATATGGCCAACAACAAAATGGCTCGTTCATTTTTCTTCTCCCAACCCCTTCAATAGGGGTATCAAAAAAAAAAGGTCTTGACTAGTAGAATAGATTAAACTATGAAAAAACTTTATTTTTTATGAAAATAATGTATGAGTAAAAATAATTTTTAAGTTAAAGAGTTTTATTGAAAATAAAGATTAAAATGATGTAGCCAATGTACTAAAAGCTAAAAATAAATTCGGTAGGTCCTAGATAATAGTCATCACACCACTCTCCTCATCAATTTAGGGCATTGATGAGACAAAAAAATAAAATCGTTGGGCGTGTGAAATTTCTATCAGGTCAACCGCTATATTTAAATGCCATTAATTACATAGTATCCAGGTTATGCAAAGGGTTGATGAACTGTTTCATCTGAATTCATCAGATAAAATAAAAATAATTCCATGACTCCGTGGCGCAGTTACCAAGGTTTTTTATTTGCTTCGGCGTTGTGGGTCGTGGTTTCAATACCCATACGGGACAACTATTTATGTGACCGACATTCTTTTGCATCTGGGTGTGGAGCATTTATTTTATTCGAACTTAGCCTTCAACATATTTCAACGTATTCATTTCAAAAAGTTAAAGGAAGAAGATTGTCACGATTTTATTTGAGTGTTTGGGTGTATGTCAAACAATCTACGTAAAAATGTAATATATCTATTAAAAATATATAATAGAAAAAACAAAATAATAAAATCAGGCTTGGAGAAAAGGACAAAGTTTTGGTGAGCCTTGCGCAAAGAAATCTTTTCTGAAGGTAAATAAGACGGACAAATGTAATTTGCCTAATAATCCAGGTTAACCTCCTCCTCTTTTACTCATTATCATCTTTTAATTATTTTTAATTAATCAATCATGACGAATTCTTAATAGTTTCCATAAAAAGTTCATTGAAATTTGTGCCATGTTGTTTTAAAATATGATTTTTAATTTTGTTGGAACTATTATTTACATTGAGAAGTAAAAGAGCCATACAAAATCAAGTAAAAGGGTAGCTTTTATGTTTATAGTAGATAAATATGTTATTTCTCAGAAACTATAGCTTTTAAATCTTTAGTACCTTTTTAAACCTTTAAAGTTAATATTGTACTTTGCAACACACGATAAGAAAATATACTTTTCATAGTGAATATTAATGTTAAATGCATTAGCACCCACTTACCTAAGTATAAATTAAGCGGAAAAGTTTACACCAACAAGTTCAGGAAACTTGTAACTCCGTCGAAAACCGCAAGCAACATTGAAATTAAATTAATTCGGAATATATTAATTTCGTTATTAGAAACGATAGGGTCTGAGAAAGATCAAAAACCTAGTTATAGTTAATATGCCTTTGTTTTTAGCACTCTATTTGTGTGTTCTCGACAAACAGGACGCGGTATTTCGTTAATTTATTCTTTTGATCTAAATTACTATACATTAATAAATCCCGCTTTTGTACTTTAAACGAAAAAATGTTATGATCTTATTGGGTATTTTAATAATATTACCTTAATAAATAAAATAATACAGTAAAAGCAATCGAACCAAATTAGCGCGGCAATCAGCAGTTTATCTTAAAGATCAAAGCGTCTCCGCGCGACTCACTAAGACGGGGGTTCTATACCCGCAGTGGCTACTTTTCATTTACTGTAAAAATTTTCTACAAATTTTAACCCATTAGTGCTTCACATCACAACAAATTACCCACCGAACCCTGACCTGACCGTTCGCCGACACCGTCCGCTTAACGATCCTATCGACCCGGTCAAGGAAAGATACAAAAGCTTACGGAGCCACCAGTGGTCCCACCGTACAACGCTACATACACAAAGTGTTCACCTACTACAATAAACTGTAGTTCGCTATGAGCAATGTGGAACCAAACACCACGTACACAAGGCACTCAGCCAACGATAGACACGATTGACAACCCCCGAAGGCATGTGGTAGGGTTAGGGGTAGGGGAAAAACTTTGTGAAAAAATCTGTCACTGAGCTTGGAAACCCTTGCCACAAACTCTGTGCCCGTTGAAGCTTTTTACTACGTCTACAGATGGAAAGCGATAACATCCATAGAAAAAGTCCGTTAATAGTTTGATCCAGATGATCAAAAAGGAGTTCACTATAATAAACTTTAATAAATAAATAAGAAGGGAAGTAGTTAATCTTTTATCAATGCCTTTTCGTCTTTTATGAAGTAAGCCATAAACTAAGCCTCTTTTATCCGCACGCATCGTCAATCAGACTTTATGCTGAGAACTTTTACGGCAGGGCCGTTTCGTGGGATGTAGGCCATTTAATGCGAAGCTCATTTCGCACTTAATACCGTAATATAAACACTACTTAGTGTTATTGCTGTTAATGCTACGTCCACTGTTGAAATTTTTTTAAAGTTTTTCTGCAAAACACTAACACTTTCGATGTATGATTTGGAGTCACTACGTCACGTTACGTCAGTAAACATAAGTACCGATTACGGTACTTATGTTTTTTTATATTATATTAATAAACACTACTTAGTGTTATTGCTGTTAATGTTACGTCCACTAATGGCTTGGCTTTTCATCTAGGACTTCCGTTTCGCTAGAAAGAGAAAGCTTTCTGAACGTTACATCGAAAAATGTTAACCATAAAGTCGCAAACACGGAGTACTAACGCAAACTTACAAACTATTTGTGGGACAAAAAGTAGGGTTTTACAATTATTGGGGTCGCGGAAGAAAGAGAAAAATCGCTTCACGCCTACTCACTTCCGACAGCGAAAGCCCATTGGATACGAACATAAAAAACCGTTTAAAAACTTTTAAGTTAAACGGTTTTATTTTATGTTTTTTTTTTGTTAATATTGTATTGTCATCTAAATTAAATGTGTGTACCAAATTTCAGATCAATCTGACAACGGCAAGGTGCTTAAATATAATTTTGACCCAAACAAACAAATTCCGTACGGGTCGAGCTAAATAAAACCGTTTAAAAATAATCATTTTTATTTCAATTTTTATCAGTAACTGTGGTATGTAACAAAACTATTATCATGCAATAACTTTTCAAGTATATATATATAGATATATACATATATACAATTGTGTTTAGTTCCAGATTTGGAAAAAATGTTACTCGAGTTTTGCAGAAAAAACCGGTAAAGCCCGGCCATCAAATTTCCATAAACAATAAGATTAAAAAAATGTATATTCATAGCGAATGACGGAGCATAAAGA